AGAGAACTGTTTGATGGCTCCTGCTGCATATCGGCTGCCGTGGCTGTGGCAGCTTATAATCTGCGACATATCTTTTGTGGAAGTGACAAAGCATGCGCCTGTTGAGCACATCTGCACATACTTTCATGAACTCCAACTACACTTGCCCCGAATTTTACACCGACGCCTCAAAGACGAACACTTCTGTCTCATACGCTGTGGTAAACCTATTCTTTTCAGATGCCGGTACCCTTGATGCTAACACAAGCATCTTTCCTGCAGAAGCTCACTTGCAGCTGTTAAACACTATAAACAAATAAAACTACAAACTGCAGTGATATACACAGATTTTCTAAGCGTGGTAAAAGCCCTCAAAACCCTGAAACCCCACAAAAAATTTGTCCTTGTATTTCTCTACTCGCTCTTATCCACAGTGTTTCCACTCAAACAGCATGTACTAGTGTGCTGGGTGCCAGGACACCACGAGATAGAAGAAAACGAATTGATGGACAATTTGGCTGCATCCACCAGGTCAACCAATACCAAAACAACAATGGCAATCTTTGCACTCCACCTGAAACATCTTCCTAAACAAAACCTCAGGGCTTCTTAGCAGTGCACAAGGCATAAACACGCACGAAATAAACTGCATGTCATCAAGCCACAACTCGGTCAGTGGCCGGCAGTATCTAAGTCACGCCACATAAAAGTTACACTAACAAGGCTAAGGATAGGACATACATACACGACACACTCATACGTTTAGTCTGGTGACGATCCAGCATTGTGTGAAAGATGTGGTGAAGCACAAACTGTGCTTCACATTTCAATTGAATTTAAGCAGTCAGACACCCTTCGAAAACAACTCTTTGCATTACCCTCCCAACAACAAATGCCACTCAACCCTGCAATGTTCATCGGCAGGGAACCACTTTCCAAACTTGAGTCACTGCTGTCATTTTATAAAACAGGTGCGAGACAAAATTTCAAGTGATTTACCCAGGGAATCCGTAGCACGGCCTCTGAAGCGAGGTTGCTGCTGCGGCTACTACAAGTCACACAACGCATGCCTCCCGACCCTTGTATACAAGGGCGTTCAAGAGGCATTTGTGCTAATGCCGATTATCACCGTAGTTTTACCATCATGGTCCTTCGCCATCCATTCTCTCTATACATCTTTCACGCCACTGTCATAATTTTTACTGCTATGTTTTACCCACCATGACGCGTTGAACTTTAAGGCCCTCATACAGCCATATACCATAAACATTACCCACATCCCCCATCTCATGAAATGGCGCTCTTTGGCCATCATATGTCCCTTGCGCCATAAAGCACCACACATCATCGTTCACATGACACGTTGAAAAACTTGCATGGTATGAGATGCCTGCATGTCGAACATAAGTGACACGCCTTAACGTGGAAATCATGATAAGCATGTCATGTATGTCATGATTAAAGGTCATACGCTCACAGTACGGCCATGGTCGTTTTTCTAGCTTCCCATATAGGAAATTTGGTATTAAGGGTATAGACTGGAGGCAGAAATGCTGTAGGCCCATGTGCTCACAATCGGGTGCATGTTAAAGAACCCCAGATAGTCAAAATTTCCGGAGCCCTCCGCTATGGCATCTCTAATAAATTTATGGTTGTTTTGAACGTTAAACTCCACATATGAATCAGTCAATACTAATTGACGTGAATAAATGACAAAGGTGTAAGAATGGTCCAAACACGAGAATCACGGTATGCGTGTCATGTAAGACCATGACTACATGGTACACTCATGATGCGCTCGTGGCCATTTCGCTAGCTTCACGTATACAAGATTAAGTATTTCGGGATGTGAATGGCTGACAAAGATAGGTGAGTGGTGCAAATATAATAATCATGATATGCGTGTCATATACCAACATGACAACATGCCACACTCACCATGCGCTCGCTCGCAGCGGTTTCGCTAGCTCGACATAGACCAAATTTGGTATCACGTGAAGGTGAATAGACTACGAAGGTAACTGAGCCGTCCAAACATGGTAGTCATGACATAGATGTCTTTTACGGCATAATTTACACTCGCCTCGTAGCGTTGTGCTGATTTTGAGCTGACATATCAACCTGCCTCATTTGTGCTTTGCATATCATCGATTCCAAGTGTAAGTGGGATCTGCCAATTTTTTCGCGCTAGGAAACTTACGAGGTTGAATATTCGAAGAAACACACAGTGATACAGCTTTGTTATTTGTATTCAATTTCAGAAAAGAACCACGCTTTTCCTAGCGTGGCTCCAGCAATGTGTTATTCGAGCCAGTGCTATTACAATGAAAGCTGTTACGAGATCCCAAGGGCTCATTCTGGCGCCGTATTTGCCCGCCACCACTAGTGTCCATAACCACTCTCACGCGAAATAAACAAAAAAACTAACTAAATCAGACCTACCGAGTACATATGGGAACAAAACCTAGGTCTTCTGAATGGCATGCCAGAAATCTACCACTTAGCTATGCCGGTGCTTTAAACTCATTGCAAAATGACTCTAGGCAGCGTTCATGCGGGGTAAGGCACCACGTTATTTTTGTGTAAGAAAGGGTTTTAGAACACTTGAGTAAAAACCTGGCCTTGTCATGTGAATTGCATAACACATAGCTCATCAATTACTCTAACAGAAACCTCAGGGATAACTCTTCATAGTCGTGCATCTACATCATCAACAAAGTGCGCATATTGTTTTTCAAGTGTGCAGTGGTTACCATGCTTATCCGAACAATGGCAAATCATGGCAGATTGAAAAAATGTCCCATTATATAAAAATTACGATCGTTTATGAACCCGTTTTTGATGCAGGCGGAAATGTTGTAGGCCCGTGTGCTTAGATTTGGGTGCACGTTAGAGAACCCCAGGTGGTCGAAATTTCCGAAGCCCTCCACTACAACGTCTCTCATAATCATATGGTGGATTTTGGACTGTAAACCCCACAAACAAGTCAATCAATCATCATTTATAAACCAGTACATATCTAGCATGTGTACTTTTGGTATTTGCCTCCGAAATGTATAAAATGTCTCTATAAAAGCCTCTCTTCCAGATTTCCCTGTTATTGTGCTGCAGATCCAGGGAGTTTTTATGGGACCTATAAAGGCAAAAACATAACGAATAGTGGTAGAATGAAGGTAAACGCAACCACAGACAAAATGGACATGTGTACAGCATGCTTTTAGGCCATCTATAAATATTTTCGCACAGTAGTTGATCATTTGCTCACCCACTTTACACATTATGTGACATGTGCAGCCTGTGCTTTTTTAGAGCAGACAGAACTGCTTTTATCACGCAACAAATGAAGAGAAATTCAATCGCGAGGGCACGAGAGGCGGAAACGCTCGGATCGGAATCGAGGGCAGAGGGGAACGTGCTGGCAATCACAAACACGACGCAAAGTATGTTCAGCAGTATAGCTGAAAATTTAGGAGCTAAAGTGGAGGCATAGAAGCACTACGCGTACAAAGCGATGCGGTGGCTCGCAAATGCACTCAAAAAAATAAAATTTATACAGACGGCTTAAAAATTGGTGTACACATGTTGCATCCAAATGGATTTACAATCGCAGCCGTTCCTCAGTCCCGGAAGGTCTTTTACTAACACATTGAATCACTCTGCCATGGAAGCATTTAGGGCTCAGTTTTATTTTTAAAAAGATTAAACCCTGTGTACACGCCACCAGAAACAAGCTATTACAAAATGCTAGCGTTTTTCTGAAATCTATGCAATCAGGAAAGATTAGGAGATCATCTGACGTTTTATCACGTTATGCAACACACTTTACTGCAATACTGTACATCGGCGCGTGCAATGTCTGCTACGACGTTTTCGAAATAATTTCACTGATGGCAACATGAATAAAATCAATCTTGCGTTAATGCAATAGCGTACAGTAAAAGAATAAAACGGCTTTGCACAGCATGGACACCTCTGCATAATTCAAGACAATACGTAGTCCAGTAATTTGTGCAACGTCATTTAAGGAAGTGAGAAAGAGCTAAATGAAATAACAGAAATACAGAAGTGAATACGTAGAATGACGCAGTGTGCGTTGCAAAAAAGAAAAAAAAACACACCAGTTACTCTGGGAGCTCTAAACGCAGAAGACTAGGAGTAACACGGTAAGCACGTGTAAATAATTCGTAGCCTTTAATTTCAACCATTCGCTCGGGGAAGGCTCTCCCGATGCATCAGGTATGAATAAATGCGGGATTTTTCCATTAGAGAATTCCTACCTTATAAATATGGTCTAGCCTGTTGGAACAATATTGGGATAAACCTCATTTGTTGTACAAATGCGGTAGAGCGTGTGAAAAAGAGCTCAACGGTGTATTCACGGCATTAGTTTTAGAGAAGATATATTTAGAATAGATGTGAATGCTTTTTTGCTGCCGGTGCAACATCACTAGCGCAATAAAGGAAATGGAATTGTTCCGGACTATTTAGACTGCGTGCTACAAACAAAAAAGGTCCCATGCTGATTCAGCATATTTAAGATCACGTCTACTTGGTGATATAGGTAAGACAAGATTTAAGAAATACGATCTCGCAAAATGACGACAATTGTACCTATTCATGCTATGTTATTTCTTATAATAGATGTTATCTTTTTTTGCAGGTTAGGAAAGAAGTGGTACTAACAATGACACAGGTTTCAATGGTATGCTATTTAGCCTGCCGACAATGAGCATTGTTGTCCAAATAACTACTCACATATTTTACATTTAGTTCTTTTTACTTTGCATTTCTCAAACCTTGCACAATAAACAGACGGTGTTTAGGTCAGACTGGGGAACAGTTACGTAGTAATTACAAGTTATTTTCATAAAAATACAAGATCCTCTGCCAGTTTCGGAAAATGCAAGAAGGCAAGTGTATATCATAAAAAGAAGGCCCCCAAACACTGAACTTCGCGGAACACAAAATTTCTGCGACCAAAAACTGTTGTAACTTGTCTCGACATAATTGCATACACGCAGTTGACCAGCCATCTGTTTGAGCCACCTGGCTTCCCTTTCGGAACCGATTTGGCCGCCCTGAACGTCCAGCGTGGTCGGGACCACGGCATACCGAGCTACAACGACTGGCGCGAGTTCTGCGGCCTACCCCGGGTCACAAACTTTTCACAGCTGACCGACATAATGTCCCAGCAGGCAGCCCAAGCCTTCGCTGAAGTCTACAAGTAAGCTTTTAAAAGCTTTCAGAATGCACCGCACCATGTTGCCCCTTCGTGTTAGCATACTACCAGAATCAAGAAGATGGCATAACACAGTCATCGTGTAATAATAATCTGTAACATTCATCTTTTCATATAGGAATATTTTATACCGCCTAATAGCAAATGATTGTGGTGACCAAAAAGTTTAGGAGTTCATCAGAATTACGCTAGATAAAGCTTGGTTTGAACTTCTACCCGGCACAATGGTGTAATGGTTGAGGCACTCGGCTGCTCACGCGCAGGTCAGAGGATTGAACCACAGCTGCGGCTGCCGCGTTTTCGATGGAGACAAAAATATTTTTTTACCCTGAACTTAGATTTAGGTGCAAGTTAAAGAAGCCCAAGTGGTCGAAATTTTTAAAGCCCTCCAATAAAGCTTCTCTCACAATCATTATGTGGGTTCCGCACGTTAAACCCAAGAAATGGTTGTTATTACTATAACTTTGAACTCTTCAGTTACATTACAATATTCAGCAGGATTTTACATTAAGTTGCAAGCAATCGCAATATTAATTCAACTGTAGCTTACGGGTATCCAAATATATCGGCCCCTGGGCTGCCGAAATAACACAGCGGAACAGCAACAAAAGAGTGAACACATCTGGATAATGACTGTGGTTAATATACTACTGTAGGAGAGGGCAAAAGGGAGTGTGAGTTTCGGTAGCAACAAAAGTGCTGTTTGACTGATTTGTGGGGTTTAACGTCCCAAAACCACTATATGATTATGAGAGACGCCGTAGTGAAGGACTCCGGAAATTTTGACCACCTGGGGTTCTTTAACGTGCACGCAAATCATAGCACACGGGCCTACGACATTTCCGCCTCCATCGGAAATGCAGCCGCCGCAGCCGGCATTTGAACCCGCGACCTGCTGGTCAGCAGCCGAGTACCATAGCCACTACACCACCGCGGCGGGGCACAAAAGTGCTGTTTGCACGTATGAAAGCGCACACGTGCCGATGCAATACATCTCCCTTTCTCAAAGATGGTTGTTGAAGCTGGGTCATCATGTGTGTATTTGTTTAAAATTATCGCCTAACGATAGCCGCTCTGGTGGTCTCGACTGTCTTTGGGATCTCCGTAGTTCAGGTGGCGGTTGGCTTCTTGTGAGTGCTCTTTGTGCGGGAGTGGCCCCTGATGACGTCGTGGAAAAAACTTGCTCATCACCAAGCTCGTCGTCAGTGTCACTGGATGATACCTCTCCACTGGGGTTTTTCTTTGTTGCCAAAATATGGCGTCTTTGTCCAAAATATGGCGGCCAAGACCACAACGTCGTCTTGTTCACTTTCTGTGTCGCTGAACGACCATAAACGATGTGGTGAAAACTTTCGCAGTCGAATACTAACGGGAGTGCTTCCTTTTCTATTTGGGAGTATTGCTGCTCGCATGTTGTTAAGGCTTTAGAAGCATAGGCTACTGCCCTCCAACCAACATCGTGTAGCGGCAACAGGGCTGAACCTACGCCGCCCTTTGACATCTTTTGTGACCTTCGTGGCTCTGTTTGGGTCAAAAACTGCTAAAAGTGGGGCTGCACTCAATGATTTGCAGGTAAACTCGCCATTTGCGTTTTTGGTCAGGCGTCCATTCAAACGGTGTATCACGCTTCAAAAAAGAGCACAAAACTATAGTTCCCTGCGTTACACTAGATGCATATTTGCCAAAATAGTTAATCACGCCGAGCCTTCTCTGAACGGCTTGTTTGTTTCGTGATGCTGTTCCGCGATGCTGTTACGCGATGCTGGTAAGAATACATTGGCAAGCAGGGAAGAAGGTGGTTTGATTCCATTACTTCCAATGATGTCATCTAGAAACTTAATTTCTTCCATGAAGAGCACACACTTTCCAGGGTTAAATGTGAGTCTTGCATTCATAGCCGCCTTCAACGTGTCTTCTAGGCGCTGATCATGCCCTTATTTTGGGGTTTTCCATACAAGCACATCATAAACACACACCTGAACACAAGGCCGGCTATTAAAAATTTCGTTCAATTCTTGCTGAAAAACCTCGCTTGTTGAAGCTGTGCCGAAGGGTAGCCGAAGGAAACGGTACCTTGTGAACTGGGTGGAAAAAGTTCACAGCTTTAACGATTCCTCGTTGAGAAGAATTTGATGGAACCCTGCAGTTGCACCAAGGCGAGAAAAAAATGAGTGCCTGTCAGTTCTGCTTCAATGTCATCCGGTCATAGCATTTGATAGTGTTTTCTTTTTGTTCTCTTTTGATTTCTTCAGGGTGTAAACAAATTCTGAGCTTACCATCCTTTTTTTCTTACTATAGCTAATGGACTCACCAAGTTCGTGGGGCAGCTGACTTTCTTGATTATGCCCTATTGTTTCATCTTGGTCAACTCGGTGCGAAGTGGCTATTGGAGGGAGAGGGAAACTCTTCGTGCCGGTTGAACGAAAGGCAGCGCATCGTCGTGAAGCACAATACTCTGGTTCTGCCGAAGGCATCCGGTTCCGCTAGACAGCTCCGTGAAGTTAGGGTTCACATCACTTGCGGGACTCGTGGTTACACTTTCGATGGTGCGTTAGATTAGACCAAAGCGGTAACAGGCTTCCAAGCTGAGGATGGCTTGGTGGCCCTTTAGGACGACAAAAAAACTCTACCGAGAACTGCTTGTTATTCATTACCACCAGTGTTGAAAATGTTCTGCATTGCTTGATAATGCTTCCTTCGTAGGAGTGCAGGATAGCCCCACAAAGCTGAAAAGCTTGAATGCTTAACTAGCGATACAGAGACAATGACATCAGATTTGCTTGGGCTGTGGTGTCAACCTTGAATTTTACATCCTGGCCCCTTACTTTGATATTAACCATCCAGGCGCAGTCGTGACCAACACTGGTTACAATTACGTCCAAGACTTCAAACTCATCGTCCACTTGGTGTATTCTTTTGATGTCAGCTCTACTATTGCAGCATGAGGCAAAGTGGTTTGGCTATTTGCACTGGTTACACTTCTTGCCATACGCTTGACATTGCCTTGGAGCGTGAGGTCGGCCAGACCGGTAACGCTCCAACATTGTGGGGCCGTGTCTTGTCATCACGATTATTTCCGACTCTTCCTTGCTCTCGTTGTAAGGCTTGGTTTTTCCTTCATCTCGTAAAGTCTTCGTCAATGTGGGTGTACCTCTTGACGATACTGTGCCTGATTCGTGGCCTTCGCCTGCTTTTCCTTTCTTCCAAACGTCGTTCTGACGAACTGCTGTCTTCACCACCTTGCACATACTTATGGCTTTTTCTAAGTTCAGTCCTTTATCCCTAAGCACTTTCTCACGCAGTTGTGGCATATTCGTACCAAACACGATCTGATCACGCACCATGTCATCTGTCAGAAGACCAAAGTTGCAATGAGCCGCATGCGACTTGATATCTCATACAAATTGTTCGAAAGGTACCGCCTCTGCTTTTAGACGTGTTCTGAACACATACCTTTCGTGGATTTCGTTTTTCTTTTTCACGCATTATGACTCAAACTTTGTGACTACTCTCTTGTAATCATGCTTGTACTTTTCCTCAACAAACGAAAAGTTGTCATACATTTCAAAAGCTTCTTGGCCAGCGATGCTCAGCAGGATCACTGTTTTTTTCTTCCTCAAATCTTGACTTGTCAGGACAGGTTGCTTTATAAACAGCTCAAACTGTTATATGAAAGTCTTCCAGTGCCTTCCGCCGTCTCCGGATAAGCACAGTGGTTTCGGTGGCTTGAGGTCGTCCATCTTTCAGGCATTTTCCTGCTTTTGGCCTAGTGGTCATGCATCCCACTTTTGACCCTATGCATCGGCTTCTGGGCTGCCGAAATATCGCATAGGGACAGAAACAAAAGAGTGAACGCCGTATTTTATTACGAGCGGTTAATATACTGCTACAGGAAGAGTGCAAAAGGGGGTGTGAGTTTTGATAAAAACAAAGGTGCTGTGTGCGCATATGAAAGCGCACACGTGCCGATACGATACATTCTAAAAACGCACATATATTTAGGAACATTGCTGCAATACCAACCTATCAGAGTAAAACATGAATGGTAACGAAGAAAACTCGAAGTTACAATATGGAATAAACATCCACGTATAGCGACACTCATTAGAGAGGCCGTGTTTTACCTTATGTGTAATGTGATGACACTGCATCGATGATATATATTGAGAGTGAGACGCGCGGATAGTATCTGACTGGCGAGTGAGGAAGGAGTAGTTAGTAATGTTAAATATGTTTGCAACTGCACTCGCCGACGATTCGCTAGGCCGACAGTCGAACCAGAGAACGGACTTCCAGCACGAGTGTTATTAAAAAAGTAGCTCAAGAAAATTACCTTGTTGAAGGCGCTGGACAGGGTCACACGTTGCATAGTTACAAGGCTTTACTACAACAATATCGGGTACGAAAAGGGGGCAACCCGGCGGCCTAACAGGTTGTCGCTATGAGTGGGTGGGGGTAGGTCTTTAGACGTTCCACGTTGTCAAAGTTGCGTCCTGAACCCCATATGTCTGAAAACAGTTCGGCGTCGTCGATCAGGTAGTCTGCTAGGCATACGCGTTCGACTGCACGGTATTTAAGCCGTAGTTTTTAAGAGAGGCCAGTTGCAGTGGTAACAATCGAGATTCATGTGAGCGCTCCAGGGCGTGGGCGCCAAAGCGGAGGCGTCCACGTGAACGCCCTTGTGCCACTCGTGGTCGTGGGTAATAAAGACATCTTGCGAGTCTTCAGCAAGTCTGGCGGTAATCTTAATAGTGTCCCCCTGAGTTTTATCCGGCTTCCATGAAAGCATTGTGTTGATTGAAAGGGTAAAAAACTCTTAGTGCTCAGAGGCGTGGTATTGTAGGCGTAGGTGACGCTGCGTATAATAACATCTCAATTTCCGTGATCAGCGGTGACGTACATTGCGGACATACTACCGAGAGCATGTTTAAAGTGTTTCATGTGGCAATGACTAGGTGGGTGAACACAGAAGTCTTACGATGAAC